CTTGAGATTTGTCTCAGCAAGTGTAGAGCCCTGGAGGCCAAAATAGGTTAGATGGGTGACTTCTGAGTTAGAAGTGCGGCTAACTTTAGCAAGAAAAAGAGGAATCCGTATCTTTTAACATATTTCACATGTTCCCAGTTCTCTTGGTTTTGTTTGATGGTGGAGCTTTGGGAAGACACAGGGAGCTTAGTTTGTGGTCTCTGCAGTGGTAACATGTTTCTGCCCCTCTCATTCCTACTCATTGTGGGATTACTTCTTTCGTCTGTTTTGGTCCCGAGACCTCTCAAAAATCACGAATAAAATCCACTAGCTAGGGCATGGACTCACGTCCTGGAAGCGGCACCAGTGGATCACCAGCACACGAGAAAAGTGAGGAACCTCTTTCAGCCTGAGAACCAAATTTTAAATCTAGCTGCCTCCTGAGGGGACATCCACTGTCCGCCCATGTCCAATGGGTGGGATCAATATGCTAGCATATTTTAGCCTAAAGCTCTTACTGCCAGTAACTAAGACTTAGTAGATGCATTTCAGGCTCCCAGAGAGAGTAAAAACCTGTACAAAAGTTGGGAACCATCAAATGAGGGTAACATGGAAAAGGGAATATGATCAGCTGGGGAACCCCCAGGTGGCTAGAATGATGCTCATGAAGGAAGGATGTGGCCCCAGAGCTTGAGTTTCCCCAGCCCTGGTGTGAGCACTTGTTCTCACAGCCCCTCACCTGAATGCCCTGAAGACCTGCAGCTTGCCTGACTAGGAGTTCTAAAGCCCCAGTTTCCGTTCAGCCCACCCCATCTTATCTCAGACTGTTCTGTGTTGCATTACTTTACTGCAGTATTTTTTCACTTTCGTCTTCTATTGGAAGAGTGTGGGATTAGAGATCATCTCCATTTGTCGTTTGCCTCTTTTTTTGTTCAAATCTTTTTTGTCCAATAAAAACCTTATTGTTTGTTTGTTTGTTCAGTCGTTTAGTCGCGTCCGACTCTTCGTGACCCCATGGACCAGAGCACGCCAGGCCCTCCTATCTACCACCGCCTCCCGGAGTTGTGTCAGATTCATGTTGGTTGCTTCGATGACACTGTCCAACCATCTCATCCTC